TGTTACAGAGAGCTGATCTTTCAAGCCATTGTGAAGCCGGGAAAAGATAATGCTGACTTTTTCCCTGCTGAGACTCATTGAATAATAACGTGTAAGCATAGAAAAGAATAAGATACAGGACACAAAAGACAATGACAGCAGTCCATTGTGTTTACATTGTGTTTACCCCGAACCTTGAAGCCTAAAACACACATACGATCTTATATATTACATATTTTATATATAATGGCAAGGCATTCATCTTGTAGATGACAGTTATTTTCCTTTTCATAAATTCAGAAATAATGTTTACGTATGACAGAAGGAGAGTTCTAGAAACATCTATAAATACCATACTTTGTTACTTTTATGAAGCTCTATTGCTTTTGGCACTAAAAACCAGTGCAAAAAGGGAAATATATGCAACTGAAAAACCTCATCCAGAGCCTCAATGCGCCGGAACCTATATATTAAATTTGAAACAAATATAAAAAGTCTGGGGCCTAGGTGCTTGATTTAATTTATGTAACAGTGATTTTTCATTAAGTACACATAATACTGTAATGTTGATATGAAAAAGTTATAAAGATTTACACATTATACATCCCTGCTGCACCATACAGTGTAAAACATATGCATATGTAAATGCTAGTGGTCATCTGTACATCAAAAAATTTGGTTAGCATCCCCGTTAAAAGGAAAGAAATAGATATGTTGTCATTGTCCCTTCTGAAAATGTTAGTTGCCAGGTTGTCATGTTGATCTTATAGCTTCAATGGTTTCTGAATTTTTGTTCTGAAACAGGTATGCAGCTCAGGAATTCTGATTTCTCTATGAAATTAATTGAATCTGAGATTTCAAAAGTGTAGAGCAAGAGACAGCCAGACAACCAGAATTTTCAGAAGATTATTAGCAGTGATGGCCTGTGTATTGCACTCAGTAAAAATTTCCTGTAACCCTTGCTGTCACGAATGTAAGGGTTACATTGGAGCAGAACTTCTTGCAGCAGGTCAGCTCAGAAAACCCTTACATATGCTGCATTTCCTTAGGCTATAAGCTCATAGTCGCTAGAGTGACCATAAGCTTATAGAAGCTGTATCTCAGAATGCCATTTTCTGCAAGATCATGATCAGCATGAATTACCACCATACATAAAAAATGTTAACCCCCATCTGCACCTCTCTGCCCCATTGTCTTCTCTGCTCCCCCAGTACTATGTCTGGTCCCCCAGTGCCTCCTCCACTGCCCCAATGCTTCCTCCACTGCTCCGATGCCTCCTCAACTGTCCGCCTTCACCACAATCCACTGCCCCCCTCTACCAGAATCCACTGCCAGCGATGAGACTGACATCCTGCCATCATGCCACTCTCAATGCTGGCTCTTTCAGGATGGTGAGTGGGAGATTAATGAACATTACATTATACACACATAACATACATATCTGCATTACACCTAGCACACTAGAAATGTAAGAAAAAACTTAGGCTGTTTTACTGCAAGCAGGTTAACACACTGCATTGTGTTAAGGCAACCAATTAATTTAGAATGGACTGCCAATGCAATACAACACATATGGACAGCCAGCGGCGGTCTACAGTGGGTGAGAGTGCCTAAGTACCAGACATGGAGCGGAGTAAGGCCAGAACCATGTAGGGAGCCCAGTGGGAGGAGAGCACCATCCCCCAGCCAATCACCCCTTTCATGAACTTACTAGGAGTCCTCACATCAGCCGACCTTTCACTACTCTTACATGGAAGGCAAAAGTGGCAGACAGGGGCGGGGAGAAGGCGGGGAAGAGGCAGAGCGGGAGGGGGGCCAAGTTGCTGCACCATGGGCCTCTGGGTTGTACTTGCCCCCTGGGCTAAAAGTTGCCTGTCAGCCCCTGCAACACACCAAGGAACACAAAAACACAACACATGTTGCTCAATGCAATAGTCTAAATATGCTCCCAGGGCTTCATTCAATATAATGCTAAATAATGGAAGGAGTTATGTCTAGTCTAGTCCATGTCTAGTGTGTTGCAGTGTATTACTGCATGCATAATAAAGAGACGCAGTGTCTATAAAAAAGGACTTATTCTTATCCCTTCAGGGATTCCCTGCTGCTCCTGCCTCTAACGTAGCTGCCACAACCTACCCACTGTTTCCAAATATAGGGGAACTGTTGGAATTACAGCAGTATATGCTGATATGTACTGATTATATTACTGACATTCTGATGTGTGCTAATAATTTGTCTTTTGAGCTGTAGATGGTGCTGTAGTACAATGTTAGTCTTCATATGCATGCTCTATATCTATGAAAAACAGGAAGTTCTGTGTGGTGACCAAGGTAGTTGCGCTAGGATATATGAAAAAATCAGAAACCAAAATACAGAAAAAATAGAAAAAGATATAATAATATCAAAAAATATAATAATATCAAAAAATATGATCCAAATGATTATAATCCAGCTGCAGCAATATCTATCGAAGTGATCAATTGTGAAGTTCTGTGTATATGCTGTAAAATTCTGATGTAATGGTCTTTTAAGCAAGTCAAACATAATTTAGCATTCCTCAATATTGTCATCACTTCATCTAAATACATAACCAACAGGAACCTGTGACAGTGCTGGGTTTTAGCGGTCATTGGCTAGGGCTATGGACTGTCATACGATGCAGGGGTGATATCACCGCTCTCACTAGGCCCGGCCCCTAGCCAACATTGAGTACTTTGATGGTGGTTGCGAAGGAGGAAGGAGCAACTGGGATTGTTGGAAAGGTGAGTGTCAGTGGGTTAGAGTAGACCTTTTACAAAAACTGTTACTTTGCCTTTAATGGGCAAAGTGAGAAAGTCTCTTCAACATGCATGATTATATGCGTTAATGCTCATTGCACTACAGCTGAACATTCCTTTGAATGGGGTGCCATTGCACAGAAAATTAGATATGAAAATGTTTTATGTTGTCTATACAGTACATACCAATGAACAGGTAGTTTCCATCTGTGCATTGTGGTGCATTGAAAAGCACATGCATTGAGGTTCATTGGCACGTTGTGTTGGGGTGTGTAGTTAAATTAACATCCTCTAACGTTGTATAGTGTAGATGGGCGCTTTTACATGTATGTCCAGCTTAACTCAGTCAGCTGATCTGCATAATTGATCAACATAATTCTATGACCACACAGGGGGCCTGAAGATGGGGCTTCTCTCAGCAGGGAGCCCAGGATTCACTGTATGCTCTACCAAAATATAGTCACACACCTCGGAACCGCCAAGTTGAGCTGAACTTTAGGTACAATATACCTATGCTTAGCGAAAAGGGGGAAGTGTATACTCAGAGTTTGCACTTGTGCAATACATAAAGGAACGTATAGCTGTAGGGTCTCACTAGAGGAAGATTAGAAGGACATCAGAACTGCTGAGACACATACTTCTGTACCTGTGTATGCTACCATTGAGACTGCTGGGACTTTTAGTTTATTAGCTGTGAGCTGCTATCTGGACACTGAGACTCCCCTTTTCCCTCTGCCCTCTTCCCTGTGCACTCTTTGCTGCTTGTGACCTGTGTTGATATGAGGCTTTAGCTGGGCTGTACAGGACTTCTCCTTCCCTTCCCCTAAATCCAGGCATTGACTCATCAGCATCTCTTCTGCCCCAATTGGCCTTCTTTGGGAGGACCCTGCTGATGGAGCCGACTATACCTGGACCAATATGAGTAGTACAGTAACTTTTTGCTATGTCCTATCATCGCCCCTGTGATTCTGCTGAATAGTCCCTGCTGTACTGTATTGCTAACACTGTGATTCTGGTCAAATGTGCCTGTTGCACCATATTGCTATCACTGAACTCTTAACTTACCACATTTTTGATGTTCCATATTGCTACCTTGTGGTTATGTTGTCCTTTGCGGTGTTCTGAATTTCTACAACAGGAATTCCCCCTTTCTGTTAAAGTATATTTCCTTTCTGTGTCCTGCTGATTCTCCCTGGCTGTTCCATACAGTTGCCCTGTGCCTCCCTGGTGTGAAAGTGACACTAAACTCAGGAGTTAAATCTTAAAAATGCATTTAGGTACCTTAACTATTAATTTTTTTTAATCTTATTTGTGTATCTCTCGGCTGTAGATCCTCAAATCATGTCTGAATTGATGCTGACACTGTCCTTCCTTCTGGAGGGTGGCTACTTTTGTTCCCCATGGTCCCTGTGTGTGTTGTAAAGTAGTCACCACTCCAAGCTTGCTCCCGTGATGGACTACAATCTCACATTTAGATTACTAATTTGTAGGGTTGCACAGATACCAAGTACTGTACTCGGTACAAGTACGAGTACATGTACCGATACTTTTGAGCTCCAAGACTAGACTAGAGAAAAATTAAAAAGTTAGGAGGCAGCTGTCATTTGTAAGGAGCACACAGAGCTCCCGGGATTTGTACATCTCTGTTTTAATGTAGGATTTTGTTTTTATAAATATAAATAAAGGGATGCACAGATACCAGTTTTGCGAGTACGAGCACTGGTACTTGCCGAGTACTTACAAGTACGAGTACTGATACATTTTTGTTTATTGTCATGTGTCAGTTTTTCTAAAACAATACAGACTAATGATTTCAGGACAGTGGTGGAGTGCCGGAGCCAGGACCCAGCAGCAAGCGCTGCAACCCTGATAGTTCTCATGAAAATGCCAAGTATCTGCACTGGTACTCAAAAAGTATCTGTGCATCCCTACAAATTTGTATTGAGATTTTACAGTAGTTAGTCTATAAGCCCTAAAATGGCCAGAATTCACACCCCATAGACTTCAATGGGATTTGTGTTCACCAAATTTCAAACAGGATTTGCTGAACCATTGGAAAATTGAATCCAGTCAGATTTTCCATTCCTAGATTACACAAATGAGGTCCATATGAAGAGAAAAACCTGATGGTAACAAAAAGCAAAGCAGCATTTTTAAGATCTGCTGAATAAATCAGTACATGTGACACAACATAGTTAGAAGTGTTGCATTCAATGTAACACATTCTCAGGTAGTTGTTAACCACCATATAGCTGTCTGAATGAGTCTTCTTGCTGTCTGTTTGCAACTTCTCAGGTACCATCTTTAGAGTCTCTGTCACTTTAAGAAAACCAAAAGGTGCTGACAGATATGAAGTGCATATATACCTGTATATATCTGCAGCATTCAGTAGCCCCTGCTCCCAATTGCTGGCCTTTCAGATTTGGCAAAGCTTCAACACTCTTCTGATAGTGCTTAGGTTTTCCTGCCTCCTGCACTTTCCGCTAGGACAGTGAAGCAACCCGTCATAGTGATGTGCCCGTAGGAATGCGGAGGTGAAAGACTAGGCAAGCTTTAATACTACCAAGAGGTGCCAGAACTTTGCCAGTTTAGAAAACCTAGCATCTGGTTGAAGCGGTGCACTGATTCTCTTAAAGTAGTATTAAACTCAAAGTTGTTTCAATGACAAATCAATTTCTAACAAATGTACATTGTCCAGCAAAGTATTTCTTTAAATTTTTGCCCAAGCACTTAAGGTGATCATGGTACCAAACAACTGGCTCTAACTCTGCCAGTTCAGCTTCCATGAACTTCCTGTCCAGTACAAGAGCACAAGGGAAAAACAGTCTCTAGCAGATGTCTATCAACTAGCATGGTTAAAGTGACATTAAACCCTCAGATTTTTAAACATAAACCAATACTGTAATGTGTGCCTTACTGTAATGCATGGTAGCTTTCCTTCTCTTTGCTGCTCTTCCTTTTAAATCCTCATGTCTTCTCATGCTTGGGGAGAACTTCCCTTTGCAGCTCAGGGCCTCTTTCTGTAGTGCTGGCTCAGGTTACAAACCTATACAAACCTATACACAGACACCATATATCCATTCCTGAGACAAGGCAGTCTGCTGCAAAACAGACATTCTGCCCAACATGAGAACAGATTTAAAAGGAAGATCAGCAAAGAGAAGGGAAACAACCATGGATTACAGTAAGGCACACATTACACTATTGTTTTATGTTAAAAAATCTGAGGGTTTAATGTCACTTTAAGGGAAGGAAGAGGAGTGGAGAGCAGGGCAATGGCTTGCCTTACTGTGTCTGTGTATTGTGGAGACAAAGCTTACTAGCACACACAAGGGTGACGGCATAGGACCCTGCAAGGTTAAGGAGCCACCCTAAAACAGGATATCAGGGGACCAGTTAATTCTGCAGGAAGCTAAAACTTTAAAACATCAAGAAACAGCATCAATTTTAAGTAATTTAAGAAGCATCTAAAATTTGTTTAAAACATTTTGAAGTCAATATAACTTTTAATATCAATCTTGCTTCAAAAAATACCCTGTTACAAAACAAACACACTTCACTTGTTGCTAAAGCCTCTCAGAAGCCACCATTCAGCACTAAATTATAGTTCCTTGGATATTGGCAGCAATCAAATAAATACATGCTGCATGAGTGCTACAATTATACTACAGCTTGAAGAATCGCACATAAATGATAGCTCCTAGTACCTCATTTTTCAAACACATGAAGATATTTTAGATATCTTGAATCTTACTGAGTCATGATAGTGATTGAGGGTAAATCAACATTGGTAGAATACCGCTGCCCACTGACAAAAAGGAGCTCCTGGTTTATATCAGCACTGTGGCCTGGGAGGTCCTTTAGTCAGTATCCCACCTCTTATCTCTCCACTATACTATCCAATATTGTAATTTACACAAGCATGCGTGTGTTGGTTGTAAACATATTCACCTTAGTAGAACCACAACTGTCTGCTATTATAGCTGGGAGAACTTTAGGGTAAGTCTTTGCATGCAATTTCCTTGGTTCTTCTAAGCAAGATTTTTCTTTTGTTGGTGAACAGCAAGTCAAGCCTTGCCACGGATTTTCAGTTGTATTGAGCTCTGGGCTTTGACTGATCCATAAGATACATCCATGTACATCCAATAATTTAAAGCAGGGGTCTCAAAGTACAGGCCCGCGGGCTAACTCTGTACTAAGTGGCCTGCAGCCAGCTGACAAGTGTGCGGGGGGGTGTATTAGTGTGGGGGTGTTGTATTTTTGTGTGTGTGTGTGTATATTAGGCCCCATTCACACCTATATTTCAGGTGCGATTGGGGATTCCTGTGTCACAAACTTGCGTTTTCCTGCATCAGGAATCCCTAATCTGGCATTTACATGCAGCAACTGTACCCCATTCAAGTTAATGATCGGGTGACAGCTGCTGCATGTAAAAGCCTACATACCGCATTTAATTGTATGTGATATGATTACATGCAGTTACAAAAACAATCACTATCCCTGGATACACAATTGGATACACAATTGTGTATCCAGGGATTGCGACAGATTCCTAACTGTATGTAATCCTTTCACATATGAGTACATGCAGTGTGCAGGCGTTTACATGCAGCAGCTGTCATCTGATCATTAATTTGAATTGGTGACAGTTGCCGCTTGTAACATATGCAGACATTAACACTGGTACCGTATATTGTAGTGGCTAAAAAATGTGTCCAGTGGCCCCCCACTAAATTGAGTTTGAGACCCCTGATTTAAAGCATCTTTGTAATTTTTACCTTTTGAACATGCATGTTCTTTAGTCTCTCTGATGTATTAAAATGCATGTATTAAAATGTATGTAAACCCAATCAAATTCTCTTATTTGGTCCCTTTTAGTTTTAAAAATACCATTGATAAGCGCAAATAATGCTTGCTGATTCTGCCTGAAATGTTTTAGTAGTCAGCGAATAACATAATTTGCTCTCTATCCATGCTACATTCTTTAGCTTCATTGGTGCAGTATAGTGAGTGAGTGTTGTCACCCTAGGCCAGGAGGTGTGTTGCTAGCAGGATCCCCAGGTGAAAATAAAGGGAAAAAAACAAAAAAAACAAAAGACGTAATGCAGCCACCTCATTTAAGGCTGGGTAAGTTGCAATATATTGCATTTTAATTATTTGGTTTAAATACCCTTTAAATGAGGAGATATGTACACTAACCACAAGAAGTAGAGCAGCTTAGCTGCTAAAGTTACTCAACCTAGCTGCTTGACACATTTTTCAGTAAATATTTTTTCCAACTCAGCTATTTTGGCCTAGATTATTCACTTCCCTGCCTTCTCCAAACTCTTCACCCTTTTGTGAATAATCCTGTTAATGTGGTTAGAATAGGTGACGGGTTGTTTTAGGGGTGCATTTTGATAACTTGGCAACATTGTCGAGTTACAGTATAATTGGATGGAGTAGTGAGCTTTTTGTATTTTTACATGTATCTCTTTTGTGCAGATATTTAGGGAATATTTGCTGTGGTGCCCACCCCAGATAGCAAGCAATTGAGCTGCAAGTTTGAAAATGACTTGCTAAACTATTGCAGATTTGCCAAGCTTCATAATTTTGTTGCACAATTACAGCAAGTCTGCATTGCAAGTCTCCAGATCAATGTGCTTTGCAAAAGTGCTGTACACTTGCAGAGCTCTTGCTAAGACCTGCAGGACTCTTGCTGTAGACTTGCCAAGCAAATGTGCTACAAATTCAAAAAGTGTCAACTAGAACTTGTGCTGCAAGTGTTCTGCAAGTCTACAACTTGCCAGGAATGTGTGCAGCAAGGTAACAAGAATTACAATTTATCCCTGCCACAAGTTTGTGGCAAGTTATCCTTGCTATCTGGGATACTACTATTTGTGTATGATTTAAGTATTGAGGGGGTACCTACCCAGAGACATTGGGAAGAGACCTACAACTGTAAATAATTGCCTATGGAATCCATTTAATATTTATATATTAGCTGTAGATCTACACTCATAGCATTGTTAGGAGGAGCATGTAGGCTGCTTTTCAAACAGTGCTGATATAATTAAAATATCACTATTGTGAAAAATATTGCATTCAGATAATTGTAAGTGAATAATACTTGCAATGATAGTATTCCAAGTTTTCATTCTTTTTTTTATATCATGTGCCTTTAGTTATATTTTCTGTACATTTTTAATTCAGACCAAGCTGTCTAGCAAAAGAGAAAATGACACGGGCTGGGAAATATATAGCACTGGTATCCACATACAAAGAAGTCCCACTGCTCTGTCCAACACCAAGCCTTCAGCGCCCGGACATGTATGGGTGCAGACTGAGAGCCACCCATGCTCCAGCACAATAGCCCAAAGAGAGAAGCCGCACACTGGAGTCCACCGACAACAACAAATATTTAATTCATAAGGCAAATAATATCCAGTCCACTGATACTCCCCGTCAGTGTCAGCAGCAACTTCTGCAATCCTTATTGGGGCCCCCTTCCAACCCCAGGCCCCATAGCAGCTGCATGGGCCGCTATGGCTATTGTTACGCCACTGGGCCCTTTACTAATATATGATTGTGGTAGCTAAATAGATGTGCACATATATTATATTAAGCACGGAAAAAGAGGAGCCGTTTTGAAAACAATTTTATTAGACAAATCATTTAGACAAATTATACACAGAAAGTTCTGCCACTTGTAACGGAGGCCTCCAAAAATGTTTTCTGTATTTTAATTTTTTTAAATAGGCAACACATCAAAATAGGCCTATTTTAAATACTATACATGTCTAACAGTTATTTCATTTTTGCTAAATTTCACTGCAACATCTGGCATGTCTCTACATAGCTTTATTATCGTTTTTTTATTTTCATGTTTTTTAAAATCCGGTATGCATGAGACAAAGGATGTCGCGAGGGGAAACAAGATGTGCATGCTTTCAGACACTTGTACCCTTAGAAACAAAATGGCCTTTGCATGATTAGAATAGAAACTGATCTGCCTTACACAGTAGACAATATTTGAAGATTTAGTACAAAAGCATTGACAGTACAAGATGCACCCTGGAAAACCAGCTTCAAAAATATGTATGAAGAATATATATATTTTAATTTTTTCATTTTTTTTTACAGTTTACTAAAAGCAAATTAAGAAACTTATAAGGATGAAAAAGAATGTCTCCTGTCATAGGAGTAAATCAACATGTTTAACAAAACTAAAATAAACCATGTCAGACAGACTTTGTAGAGATATTAATATTTTTTACAAGTAAACAGCTGCATTTAAAAGTAGACACAATCAATGCTGTCATCCATATCATTCATTTAGTGAAATAATGGAGCAAATGGAGACTTAATTAATAACATGGTGTGGTGCAGTAATCATAAATGTGCTTTAACGGACAGCAACCAATCAGAATAGCACTCTGCAATAAAGTTAAAACTTAAAAACTGATAGGTTGCAGTGGGTACACCAGTCACATTAACCTAACCTTAATTAACCTAACTGGGCTAATTTTATAGCATTAGATTAATACTCTAGATTTTTTTGACAAACCAGAATTCATTTTCTAAACTATGAATTTAACTATATACATGGGTGAGGCAATTCTTTGCTTGCGAAAGGTACAAATCTGTTATCCAAGTTGTTTAATTCGTTTTTTTGGGGGGGTTCTAAGGACATATGTTAGACCTGTTCTTGATATCTTGATATAGTCTCTGTTTAATGTGTTATACAAAACTTGTATTTAAAGACCTACTCCATTTCTACCTCCTACCAAAAAAGTTATAATTTGGCTGCTCCAACCCAGTGCAAGTTAGAAGGACGGTCCAAGACAAGATAATGCGGGTTCAATGCTCTACATCCTTACAACTGGTTATTTTGAAAGTGTACTCCTTGAGCTCTTCAGATTCCAGTACTTAAAGGTCTGTACTGCTAATTGTTTTGCCCTGACTGGCTACTCTGAATTAAAGCACTCAATGTTATTAAGTAAGCCATTTTGGTGTTATTATATTCAGAAGCCCTTTGCAGTTCTTACATCAGAAAGTCTGACGAAAAAACTACAATAATTGTTTACAAGACAAAAATAGCACCATCCCACCAGATAATGTATTCAGACTCATCCTTAAAGTGAGGTGATACTAATATCGAACAAGGTATGTGAGGTATAATAATGTTACTGACAACTATCCCTTACATAGGATAAATATAAAAGAATAGCAAATTAAAGCCCTGCACAATTAATATTAAAAAGCCTCAAGATTAATTTCAAGCATTAAACCTAATAGTACACAATTAGTACATTTGACCTTAGATTTAAAAAAATATTCAGCTCCTTTACATTCTTATGCTGACAGAACAATGCCTAGAACCATTTTTATTTATTTATTTATTTTTTATAAAGTGGCACATTTGCCCAGACTTTCTTCCAGTTTATTTTATATAATGACAATACTTTAAACCATCCAAGACCCAGAGGAGTTGCAGATAGTTTTAAAATTCTAGCAATACTTATGAAAAATCCTGATTGAAGAGCTATTAAGGTTCTTACTTTTGGAAGCGCTGGAATTGATAAGGTTTAAAATCTTTCTCTTTACCAGTCATGTTTTAAGGGGAGCCTTTGATGTAAATAGAAAAATTTACTGTTATGTCTTACAATGTTTTTCTATATTACTTATTTACCTTTAAACTCTAGTAGTTTTTTTCTAATAAAAACTTACTCATTTAGAAAACATATTTTAATTTCTGTCAATCCTGAAAATTTGAACAGATATATTTACTAAGTTACAATGCCACGTTTTTAAGAAAACATGTTACCCATTAAACTCGGTGGAAGTCATTTTATTTTTCATGGCATTTTAGAGGATTAGACAACACAAGAAAAGGTTGGAAAATAACATCCAAATGATGATTAAATTTATGCAATAAAAAAAATCTAAAGGGCACAATGAGCTCTAGGCAGGTAATGCATAATTATAATCTCCTTAATAAATATGAATGTTGCATTTCTAGCCAGAATTTGGTGAACATCACACAAGCACAAACAATTTTATGTATAGAACAAACCATAGTGTCATAAACAAATCTATAGAGCCACCAGGCATGATAGTTTGGCTGATATAAGGCTATAGCATCTGACAAAAAATATAATTTACATTTCAGCAGCATTTCAGCAGCTTAGCGTGTAAGGGCTAGACGTGTGGAGGGCAAAAAAATTGGTTTCAGATGAAACAAATGAAAATGAAAAACATTTCGCTCGTTTCATCAATGGAAACAAATTTTAATGCTGTTGCAGATTCGGAGGCAACGAGCCTCCGATCCGAAACCGCACAAAGTGCAGAACGAGCGTCGGCAGCCAATATGGTCGCAGCGCGTTCTGATATCTAACAAATCTTTATATGCTCGAATATTTCGGATTTGGACAAACCGCCGAATCAACTGAATTTAATTGATTTGCAGGTTCGCCCGAATCCGATTTGCACATGTCTAGTAAGGGCCATGGTCCCTATACATGCAAATTAATGGCTGGTTTTCCTGCCCAAGTGACAGGACCATGAAGTTTATTATTAAATAACAATCCATTTCTCATGGCATAATACATGGCTTACTAAGATGATGCATGTGTTTATAATTTATTCACCTGCAATGCAAAAATGCAAATCTGACCTCTACATTATTGTTGAGCATGTACACCTTACAATTATTGTTAGATTTTTTTCATGCCTTCATCGAACCGTTGTTCGATTTCCACACAACTGCCCCATCATGCACAGACCAATGTGGAATTCAATTATCGTTCATTAGCAATACTAACTGACGAAATTTCGGCAAAAAAGACAGACCGGATTTTCCTTAGCGCATGTGCAGTGTTCATGTTGCAATTTCTTTCGTGCCAATCCATCGATTTTCGTGCACTTTGAAAAAAGTTTTCTAGCCTTCCCGATAGATGAAATTTGGCTAGTTGAACAGTAATTCTGATTGTTGACTTCCCATCAACTGGCCGATTATCGTACGAAAACCCGATTTTGTTCAGAAATCATACGATAATCGCAAGGTGTATGGGCATCTTAAAGATGAACAATTTTATTTCCATCTGTTTTTTTTTTTCATTTTGGCTATTACTGACAGGGTTGTTCACAAATGGGTGAAGAGTTTGGAGAAGGCAGGAGAAGTGAACAATCTAGGACAACATAGCTGAACGGGAAAGTGAGCTGAATTGGAGAATTTTTCCAAATCAGCTATTTTGGCCTAGATTGTTCACGACTCCTGTCTCCTCCAAACTCTTCAACCTTTTGTGAATAACCCTGTAAGTCTTTCCAATGAGCATAAAACAAAAGCAAATAATTATTATGCCATCAGTAATTCTTTTAAAATATGTCTACTTCATTTAGGATGCTTTTTAGAGTAAGGTAAAATGACCCTGTCACTTAAAAAACAAATGCTGGGACATTCTGAAATGTCTGCTAGTGATAGAGCTTGCCTGCTTTGTCCTGCCTCCCCACATTCCTACTGGCCAAAGTGGCAGTCCATCCTAGAGATGAACCAGTAGGAATGTTTGGGGGGTAGGGGGAAGTGAGTAGTTTATCAGCCCTTAGATGTGGTGGCTGTTCTCATTGTTTTTCAGTCCTTTAAATATATTACACCTGGTATACTTGCTGCTGCACTCCAATCCCAGGGTCACATACTAAATACAGAATTTATTAAGCTTTTGCCATGTGGTCTTGGAGTCATAGGGTGGCAGCTGCTATGAGATAATGAAAACTACTTTTCCCATATGTAAACTACAGAGTGACAGAGTACATTTAAGACATAGAAAATATGCTTTGAATTGCTCCCGTCTTTGACCCTGTTTACAGTCCTTTAGGCTAGGGTTACATGGGCGAGTAAAGCTCTTTGCTAGATTTAACCACCTGTTGGCAGTCATTTGGAATTGGGCTTTGGGTTTATTTTTGGCAAACAATATAGAAAAATATGTTTTAATTGTTATGGTGGAGGGAGATTCCGTCATATCACTTATCACACATGGCTACTAAGACACTTAAAAGTGACAAACGAATCATACTGCTTTTAAACACACTTGGTCTAATTTAAAAGTTAGCTCCAAACTTTGTGGATTTGTCAAGTAACTAAGCAAAGTCTGTTATTATATGATACACCTTATGTGTGAAAGTATTTGCTCATCCCTCTGTCTGCATCTTACAGACCACATGTATGATAGTTGAATATGTAACTATTTAGGTTTCAGTTTCACACATCAGGCTTCACCTTCAGTGCTAAGAGGAGCACTCTTCACTGACATAATGTATTTCACCATATATTCATTTAAAAATAATAGGGGACAATTCAATATGCTATAAGTATATAAGGCTGCCCTATTGTGTTCAGTTTAAAACACAAATAATAATAATTAAAAATAAAATAAAATATATATATATATACACTGAGTGGCCAGATTATTATGCCCACCCCATCAGTACTTCGTTAGGCCACGAGATGACTCCATGGGATTACTTCGTTGGGCCGCCTCGTGACTCCACGAGATGTTGAAAGGTGATGCGAGGAAT